GGCTCTGCTTTGTCTCTTGGCTGGGAGGATAGAGTGAATCGAGGCTGATGGCTGGTGGCGAGGAGCCAGTGAGGTGGTCCGAGGTCAAGAGTTCTGGAAAGGGGGGAAAAAAGGCAACAGTACAGCACAAAGTACAAATTAAGAGAGCACCAGACATCTGTCCCCACTCCACACTTCATATCCCCCATCTTCCTTTCATTAAACCTACCAGCATGGAAAGACAAACCAGTCTCACTCAGGCGAGAGAGAAATTCAGCAGTGGTCTGGTTGGCTGTCATAAAATTGTCAATATTTTGACTCTGAGTTTTAGTAGTTGAGGATTGAGGGTCCATTGCCAACACTGAATATTTCTGTCTATCGATTTAATTTTCTCTCAGTTGCTGTTCCATCTTTTTCTTGCTTCAGATGTGATTAATTAACCATGTCTTACAAACAGATTTTGGACAGTGTTGATTAGACCTCTATCTCTCTCTCTGGCAAGTGCAGGCATGGTGTAGAATCAGCACAGGGTGGTTTGTGTGGAGTCCCAGTCGTTCTGGTGTTGTCTCCAGATTGGCAGACCCCAGTCAATCTCATAAACTACACACAGTCTTGGAGCTGCTGCAATGAGTTAAGTTCATATTTTTCTGCCTTTTTCATGTCTTTTTTTTCCCTTTCTCCATACTGAAAAAACGGCACAAGCCCTTTTAATGTGGTCGGGCTCCTTTCACAATCCAAACGCTAAACCACTTGTTAGTTTCTGTTAGCGCTGTTCCTCTCACTGCCGATTACGACAGATTTAAACATTTTATGGACCTCACACACACGTTAGAGCATGGAAGCCATGGACACAATTATTTGTCTTATGGTCCAATAAAGATGAGTGATCTCAGAAAAGCTTTGGCGAACAGGATTCAGTGGAAAGCCTGCTTCAGAGTTGTCAACGAAGAGAACAGGTTCAGAGCTGACAGGCCAAGGGGATGATGGGAGATTTTTGGAAACATTCCCATGGCAAACTAAGAGGTGATAAAGAGTTATCTGGGCTTTAGATTTAGACTGCATGAAAGTATCTTGGCCACAGTATCCAAGATGTCTGCAAGATTGCAATTTTAGTTTATTAGGTCTGTAACTTTTGTTCCCATTTCCAAAGAGACTATAATTAGCCCGGTAAAATAAAACCACACATTTAAAACTTCGTGTTTTGTTTCGAGAGGTGTATTATGTCAGGATACTATCATAAAGATGTACTCTATGCAGTTCTGAAAAACAAATGAAAAATTTCAAGTGTGTGTGTAAAGTTTTCTATCTTTTAAACTGTGCTGAATTGTGTTGAAATCTGGTTTTCAATTATCTATTTCCCCCACTGCTTATACCCACTCCTCCTCACTTGAAAAGCCTAGAGTGGGTGTTTCATGTGGAAAGAAAAGCGAGATTGTGGCTAAGAAATTATTTTCAACGTTATCTATCATTATAGATCAGGTTCTGCCTATTGACAAAAATAAGTGTAGGAGGCCTTTTCTGTTTTAAAAAGAAAAAAAAAACAGTTAGCTCATAACAAGTCCATTACAACGGTGAAACAACTGCACAACTCTTACAAACTCATCTGAAGCAGTGGCAGCACTTGAAAAATCTCTCTGCCAAATGCAACATTTTCAGCGAACAAAATGGAAGACGAGAAAGACACGAGTCCATGCGAATCTCCCTGACGGGCTGCGTGACGGTTTCTGCGCATCACTCAGAGGTTTCGGTCAGGCCCGATTCGCGCCCCTCTTGTTCCTGGTGTCGGAGGCTGTGGCTGCTTGTCACACAGAGGGTCACTGGCGGCACGGAGCCTGGAGACACTGCTTCCCCAGCGACACTTGGTGTCAAATTTATTGGAAGGCTGAGGATGAGTCCTGTTCAACTGCATAGAGAGAAAGAGGCCAACTGGAAGGCACTCTCACAAACCACCCACGTCTTCTGGCAGTAGTGCAGGGAGAGCTGTTTAAAAACATGTGGGCTGCATTATTGGACTAGCAAAACGATATGTAGCTAATTTAGAAATATATATATATATTTACACGTATGTTCCCTCTCTTAACATACTGTGATCCACATAAAAAACAGTAATATCAGCTAAATAGCTTGGAAATTGTACTACTAAGTAAAAGCAGGTCCTTCTTCTGCTCTCTAGATGTTTTATCACTTGAATTCCTCACAGGTAAGAGCCTGGTTTTCACAGTGCCTGGCTTTGCCCGTCACCGTGACGCCAGTCCTCTGCCACTATCCTACCCAGCATGCCGTTGTCTCACCCTGCTGTTGTAATCCCGCTGGTGCCAGAGAGGGGTGATGGGGAGGCAGGCAGATGGAGGGGGGCAAAGGGAACGCTAGCAGGAGTTCAAAAGCGGTTGAAGTGAAGATGAATCAGGAATCCATCAGAGCACGGATCTGTTAATAAAACAGCCCACATTAAAGACTGCTGTCATCTTGCTGGACTCTTTAAAAGACATGTATGTGTGTGCGTGTGTGCCTTGGCGTGCAAGTGGGTGGCTGTGTCACTTTTTCTCATTTTCATTAAAGCCGCAGTGGGATAGAAGATGAGGAGCAATTGGTCCTTCCTTGTCAATACAAATTAAATCCATGCAACAGAAACCCAACAACAAGCTCTGCTTCTGCCTGTGCTGTTTAAGTGCTTCCTCCGTCCTAAAGCAGTGTGAGGATGGCTCTCCCTCTCGCTCGGGGTGGAGTAGTGCTGGCCGCCGTGGCCTGTGCTCCCCGATCAAGCCCCACCAGCGCGGGACTGCGGCCAGCTGAGACAGGGAAAGCCCTCCATCTTGAAGCTCTTTTGCCTTTCCAGCCTTGCCGTTCATTCTGCCCGTTCTCAAATGTGCTGGTCTTGCAGACAAGACCCTTTGCTGAAACATCAAATACCCATCCATCCATTTTCTAACTGTTGCCTCAGATTCAGGGTACAGGGGAGTTAGTGTCTATCTCGGCAAGCAACAGGCACAAGGGGGTACACTCTGTACGGGAGGCCAGTCCGTCACAGGGCAAAAACACTCACACCAGGGCCAGCTTTCCCAGAAGCCAGTTAGCCCACCAGCATGTCTCTGGTCTACAGGAGGAAACCCCAGCCTCTGAAGAAAACCCATGCTAATACGAGGAGCATACAAGCTCCAAGCAGAGAACACCCCAGGTTGAGAATTTAAACCAGGGCTCCAGCACTGCAAAGCAGAAAAGCTAACCACTGTGATGCTGTGCCGTTTTCACATCACATACCCTTTCAGAGCAAATCTAACACCTTAGAATGTGCTCTGGAAAAAAGAGCAATCTGGTTGATCTCAATGACTGCAACGGGATTTGTTCTGGGGAATTTAAGGGATCAACTAGGAAACATGATTCAGAGACTACTTTTGCCTGGAAAATAGCAGACCCATATCCCTGGCTATGTAAGCATGTTTTGAATTGGACTGGTGTAACTCCCATCTGATTTTAGAAAGAGCTCTTCCTTGGTCCTAATTTACAACAGCTAGTGCCCACAAGAAAGTACACAAGAAGGGCTTTTGTTGAGGAAGGGTGGACATGTACACGTTTCAGAGGCGCCCATCTTTTAGTCTAAAAGAAACAGCAGCATCAACAAAGTCTGTCGGTTGATGTATTTATGCAAAAAAACTAAGTCAATCCATGTGTCCAAAACACCATTCTGCCAAAACCTGTCTGGTCACCTGTTTCTGTTCCCTTATCCATATGTTAAGGAAGTAGCCTACTGTATAAATGTGCATTTTAACATCTTGACTCATATGTAGCAATTGACCTTTGGTCTTTTTTTCCCTCCGTAGCCTTTTCATAAGTCTTCTTCCTGTAACCATTTATCTCTCCGGACCTTGTTGTTTTAAGGTAACAGACAGCAATAGACACTAGATTTATTTTTCTTTTGTTTGGTATCATAGCCTATGTGTCCAAAACAATTACTAAACCTGTATATTTTCTTTTAGTATTTCAATAAGCTGCTACGTACCAAATTAGGTAATGGACTGAACAGCCTCATCTCATCACTACTTTTAATATATTAATAATTAGCATTTTACATTCTTATTGAGCTATACAACACGGACAGCTTCGTATCCGACTCTTATCCAATACATCTGTCAATGACATGAAGTTAAAAAATGCTTCAAACAAGACTGTAGTGCGCTTGAATTGAGACATGGATGTGTGCCATTATAAGACATACAAAACTGAACTTGGGCATGTAGAAAAATTACACAGAAGAAAAAATCTTAAATCACAGGAGACATTGTCTGCAGATATTTAAAGGGTCTGGAAGATGACTCAAGTAACACAAGTGTAACAAGTAACACATGAAAATAACTGTCAAACATGTTTAAATCCAAAGCAATACCCCCTAAATATGATATCCAGGCCACAGTTTGAGTTTGTCTTGGTTCGCTTACTTAGTTTATGATGGTTCTTGTTTATCGCGTTTCCAAAACCCTATGTTTGTTAAGAAACATGGAAAACCTAAGGAAAAGCAGTGTCCAATGTGGCTATTTTACCTCCAATTTTTTTTCTTTCCTAATAGTATTTCATTAAAAATATGATCTGAGTAGCCCTTATTCTTTTGAATGATGTGCACGTCGTTAGGGTTTTAATAAGACGGCTTGTTATGCAGCCCTCTGGTGCCCTCAAGTGGTAGATCGTGGTAGTGAAGCAGCAACTAGCAATTTATATGTTGTAAAGACGGAACACGGAAGTCAGCCTACAGTGTTTAAAACGTGCTAACGTTTGTTTGGTCATGTTGCTCAAAAAATAATATGCATAGAAGTTAGTCGTACTACGAAAAATGCCCCGAAAACAGGCAGGAATAAAATATCCTTTAAAAATCCTGCATTTTGTTTTCAAACAGCATAATAATCAAATGATGTATGACTGTGACCCCCAAGAACTAAATGCACATATTCTTAGTCATCTGTAAGTTTAGAACAAAAAATAAACTATTTAGAGAAAAATAAGTGCTCCACAGGGTTAAAAAAAAGTCCCAATTGACAAGAATCTTTTTGTTTTTTAATAAAAGAATATCCCTTAAAATCTCAAGTCTCTATAATCACATTTTTTAAACCAAAACATTCAATGTCTGAACAGCTGTGACACTCAGAGACAACCCTGGAAGTTAGGTCTGCTCTGTTTCCTCATCCAAGAGAACCTTGTGTCACTGACCCTCCAGTACACAGGGGGCGCTGTTCTTCCTCGGCAGACATTCACACAGCAAGAGGATAAAGCAAATAAAAGTCAGTATTTCAGAAAGAGGAAGAAAAAAATCATGGTCTCCGTCATCATCCAGGATGGAGTAGATAATAACCAAAATGCTGCAGTGATCCAGCCTATTTACTAAAACTTCTGTTTTATATCCATAATAAAAAAAAGTCAATACAACATAAAATGCTACGATAAATTACGCAAAAACACAGTGTTCATCTAATGACCTTTCCTTCTACCTTTTTTGTGTGGAATTATGATTTTTTTTAAAAACATGTCTGTTTCCAAATTCAGAGTTGCAGTTTTAGATGCCAACTTTGATGATTCATTGACTAATAAGCGTCACTGCAGGTATTACGCTCCATGAGCGTAGGGTAGCATATAAAAAAGATTCTATTTTAGGCACCCATCAAAACTCAAAGATAATCTTCTATGGTTTTCTGCAAACTGAATGTGACTGACAGCTGGCTGTCTAGGACAGATACAGACAGGACTCTTTCCTACACCATGTTGTTGAGTTTAGTCCACTCGAAGATGTCCTGTTCACACACAATGTCCGAGTTGATGAGCAGGTAGCGGTCGCCCACGCAGAAGTGTTTCTGACAGGCCGCACACTTGAAGCATTCGAGGTGGTAGACCTTGTCCCTCACGCGCATGGTCATCTCGAAGGCCCGGATCCGCTTGTCACAGGACGCGCAGAGCCCGTCTTGGCCAAACAGCCTGAGGAAACATGGACACCACCCTGTTAGCAAAGGGTCTTGCCGCTCGACCGCACAACTGAGAACCTCTCGCTACAGGGTGTCAAGACAGCTTACGGCATCGGTTAGAAATCGGGCGCAATAAGAATGTGAGGACACTTTTTAAAAAGTGAGGGAGGGAAAAGAGGATATCTCACTGACCCAAGGATCACCTCACGCTCTTTCTTGAAGGATCCTAGGAAATCTGTGTTAAACTGTGTGGCCGAACAGTTTGTATCAGTCCTTTGTATAAAGTTGTGCTTCCCATTTTTACACCTACATTATTTCCCCTGTGTCCCCAGTGGCATTAGTAGTATAGGAAAGCATATGAAACACACAGACCCAGCCCTACCTGAGATAATCTCTCCGGCACAGTTTCCGGCCCAGCTTGTAGTACAGCCTGCGGCCCACCTCCCCCAGCCTGCAGCCACACAGGTCGCAGCTCAGACAGTCCTCGTGCCAGTACTGCTCGATGGCCTTCAGGAAGAAGCGGTCTCCGATGCTCTGCTGGCACCCCCCACACGTCAGGAGGGAGGGGGGCATCTGCAGGACCTCATCCACTGGCTCTCTGAGGAGGGAGCAGGGTCCGTTCGTGAGCAAGAGAGCCAGCAACCGATTGCCACACACATCGCCAAGAACAGGGGGCAAACAGACACAGCAACTGCACTGCGGTGAAAAACCTTTTAGAAACCACCTGGGTAACAATTCATCTAGGTGGTTTCTTGTGCCCCCGTCTGGAGGTTTTGGTTGTGTTTGCTTCCCAGTTTGGACACTTTTTTTCAATTAGCTGTCAAACAGAGGAAGCTAGCTGAGAAGCCAAAAGAAATGTGCAAATATAATGACAAAAAGGTGGATCTTCAGACAAAGAATCTGCACAGCCGCTAAAACACACTACTATTGAAATGAGTACGGGTGTAAGGGGTATTGTAATTGTGCTATAGTTTCAAAAAATAATCTTTAATTTGTACATGTAATCAGTACTCTTTGTAAAATAATCCTGGAAACAGAAATCTGAAAATCAGGTACGCTAGGCTGGCTGCTAGGATTTGGCTGCTAGCAACTACATATACAGTCTACATATACACTGAAACAATTTTGACTGCGCTTGAAGAAGTGACTTTTAGAAACTAAGCATTTTTAAACATTATGAGTATCAGAATGTTGAAATGTTGTGAAGTTTTCTTCATGTCAAAAAATGTCGTCACCCAGAGGTCTGGCAAGCAGGCCGATTTGAGGTTAGATGATGGCATACAGGCATTGTTGTGAACTTTACAGATCCAATCAGATGATGCAGCCATGATCCTGACTTCAATACCTTGCCTGCCTTTGTGGAGCTAGCATGTGTTCATCATATTCACACTGATTTTTACTAGGCACTCTATAATAGTATAATTTCCTCACATCTCTCTCACTGGTGACCTTTCTGGTGACATTTGCTGTAGATTATGCATTACCATCATTCCCCAACAGAGGGAGCAGCTTCCCACGAAATAAAAAAACACTATATGCGCAGTGTATGCCCATATATCTGTCACAGGGCACAGGGAGAAGGAAAAACAAGGTTTTGTGTAAAAATAAGAGGTGAGTGGGGAATACAATTGACCCTCATTTCACACACATTTTTCTTAAAATATATTTTGCTCCTGCATCATCTGTTTAAAAGCAGCAAGGATGTACTGTATATTTATTAGGTTATGACATTTCTTTGTTTAAATAATAGAAAGAATAGCTACAGTTATTTACTTAATATATACCTAATGTATTGTGTATACGATATACAATAAAAGTGCAAAAGTAACATTCTTTTTTATCTGAGGTATATATTTGGCCTTCCATGGTTTAGATTTCCCCAGTACAGCACATCTCTGTATTGGTGTGTTACCTAGAATCTATTAAAAGAAACTTATCAAAAGTTATCATATAGTCAAAACAAAATACAATTAATGCATAAAAATGTGGAGTAACCCAAACTTTACTACCTGAATTTGCACACTTACAGATTGCTGTCTATCAACTCAAAGGGCATGGGTTCTACACATCTTTTGTTAGTAAGGATTGAATGAGTATTGTCACTTAATATGCATTATCCTATTCTGAGTACTTAACTAAAGAATGAGCTAGTGCTAGTAGTGATTATTACATTAATGTCTTCTGACACTGGGATCGCAGTAGTGATAAGAGAGCTAGTGAAAATCTACATCTCAAATAGAACAGAAAACCTCAATAGTCTTTTTTTTAAACCACCTAGTATACATTATCGAAACACTGCTCTTGTAATTTCTTTACACAAACTAATTGTCAGTGCATTTTAATCTACGTCATTATGCTGTTTTGCATTGCCCCTTTCTTAAAAGGCTATTTACAATTCATATACCTGTTGAAAATGTGATAGTTTAATTACATCTGGCACCTGGTTCTGAAACTCGGCTTACGAAAGCAAACAGTTCACAGAATGCAAGGCCTACTGTAAAAGAAACTATCGCCACAGTCATTTCATTACTGCCAAGAAGACTTAAACATCAAGCTTTATTTGCCTCTGACTCAATCCCACAAGTGAAACTAATCTTAAGTGACATTGCTTCTAAATTCTAATTACTTTTTAGATCTAGAGTTGCATGTTTAAGATCACAAGAGATTTTACTCAACATGGCCTCTGTCTTTGTTAGATATATAAAGTTCAGTCTTAAATTATTTCGGATTAATGGGGGAAAAAAAGCTCTAAGACCCTGGTGGTCACAGGAATGAAAGTGACAGATAGTTTGGATGTTGTTTTGGGGGTAAATTCTTTCCTTAAAAACAAAAAGTGCACATGCGTGAAAAGAAACACTGCAAGTCATTAGTTTCAAAGGCATCACCATTGCACTTACTCTGACGCCTCCAAGCTTTTCCTTTCAATAGCAGATGACATTCCAAGATGTTCCTTGCGGGCAATGACGATGGCATCAAACACCTTTTACTACTGCGTCGGGAACTTCGGCTTTTATAGAGGCTCCTGCTCCTTAATCCGGCGGCACGTATGCTTTATATCCCCACTTCCGACTCCTCTCGCATATTTCTTATGACAATATGATTTTTCGGCAAGAACTGCACCTGTTCATCTTATTCTATTTTCTAAAAAAAAAAAAACAGCACCAAAGGCAAAGACCGTGGAAATCGCGTTTACTTGAGCTGTACAGTTCCTTCCTACAATTTATATATTAAAACATACATGTAAGACCGCAAACGGGATCCTTAAACATAATTTACAATTTTCGATATTAGTAATTATTATTATTATTATTTCCTGGAGATCATAACATCCCATTTGCTATACTGTTGTCCTTGTGCTTACGGCTCAAGTATTCTTCAGCATTAACAGTGAAGATAGCAGTGAATATCAATGGCTGCTTAAAAATATTTCTTATTCCCTCTGTCATCCCTTACCGTCTCCCTTAATCTGCGGTTAGTCGCGGGGACGGCTTTTGTACGGCAGCTCTCTGTACCGTAGGTATTTTTACATAGCTCTGCCCCTTGGTTTCTGGTTTCGTTTCCTCTTTCCTGCTCACGACTCCTTCACAATCGAAGGAAACGTGTTTTAAAGAGACAGGGGCAGCTCATTTGGGGATGTGAAAAAGCGTAATGCAAACAGCCCGGGGCTGCCCAGTTGAGAGTCTGCGGAGTCGTGAGGGTTTTTTATTTCACTGCGGAAAGAGCTTGTTTTTAGCTAGACGGTTTGGCTTAAAGGGGCGTAAAATGACATTTTACCAAGAGGGTAAAGTCGTGAAAGGCACCGCATCACTAAACGGTGATACCCCCTCCTCGCGAGCACTTATTTCATCTACATAATAAGCATCTACTTATTATAACATTTTTCTGTCTCTCAAGACCTGCAAACTCTTTAATTGTCTATTTCACAATGTACAAAAAAAAACCACATATATGTCTGTGTGTGTCAGAGAGTGTGGGACAAAATATTTTTCATTCTCCTTTCCCCTGATACCTAGATACAGAGATTCTCACTGAAGAAGCCGATTATCACTGGATGGTTGGCTTGTATTGAAATGGAAAGACGATGCTCGTAATCTTAAAATCACTTGTTCCATTGCCTTATTCTTCTTGAAAATGAAAAGTAAACCTTTCTAACAAAATCTGTACATTCTCAGATGTAACGAAGTTCACCTGCTGGGTGCTTCCTGAGCAGAAGTAGTTAAGTTCATAGAAGGGACTCGCTGAGTTCTGAGTAGACGAAGGCAGCAATTAAACCCATTAAAAGTAAAGAATTGCAAAATAACCGTGGAGGCTTTCAAATGGGGAACAGCACAGAAGGAGGGTGCTGAAATTAAGCTCTTTCAGAGCCAATATTCAGAGCCAATAAGGTGATATTCTGCAATACAAGGACTAGTGTTTTTGCTGTTTGAGGTGGCTTAAAAATCTGTGTGCAATTGCAGTTTTACACGAGGCTGCATCTGAATCCCGTATTTTCATCAGGTGTTCAATTCAATTATTGTTTAAAATGCTTCTCCCCTTATGGAGGCAATAAGGCGTATTTAAAAAAAAAAGAAAAATCACTTCTCAGCTGCACCCCAGTCATGATTCAGGAAGAGTTCAACAACTATTAGGCCACAACTTTTATGTTGTCTAATAGTTTTAAAAGAAAAGACATATTGGGAACAATATTTTTCTATGTTTTCACTGCCTTTACGTTGCGAGAATTCCCTCATGAGTATTTAGTAATAGCTCTGATAGTAAAAGGGTGTTGCACAAGTGAATTTAACATTTTTTAAGGTTTAATACCCTAGTTAACAGAAAGGATGTTGAGGCCGTATTTAAAATACTGTAGAGAGCGTTTTGCACAACAAAACACTGTGTCTCCTGGCCCCATCCATCCAACTAGGCATTTCAACGTCAGCTCTCTGAGGGTAGACTCACCCATGGGACAAACAGGGTGGCCAGATGGTCAACTAAATTTAGCTAAAGCAGGCAGACGAGGCTCTGCGTGTGCTTGAACTCTCCCCTCAGGAGAATGCACACGAACAATGGGTTAACCCCCTCTGCACTTGTTATTCTGAACCCCACCCTGCTGCAGCTGTTAAAAGCGTTCCTCTTATCTGCTGCCAGGGCTGCTCTGCTGCCTGATTCTAAGGAGGCCAGGGGCCTGCAGAGACACTGGGCTCTGAGATACTGTAACTCCCAGAGCTCTGTGAAGGAGATATACTGAGCAGGGACCAGGGCTCCCTAAAAGATTTGGATGCTGGAAAGACATCACTTGGAGTTACACTGCTGGTTTTTTTTATTTGGCTAACTAGCACATAAAAACATGACCTGGTGCCAATCACTCAAATTCATTTTGCACAGACTGGTGCTACTATGATTTACATCTGAGTGAATGAGAGGAGGATGTCAGTGTCACTTTTGGTCACTTGCCCTTTTTCTTCTGCTAGGGAGATTTCATTTCCTCCATCTGTCACAGTGAGCTAGAGATTTAGTGTAGTTATTATTTACAGGAGTTCCTTTATCAGTCCCTCACAAAAGCAAGTTACAAATCTCTGCTTATGGAACTGGTCTGCGTGGTGGTAATATCAACAACAGTTTGTCTGCGTACAGTATTTGCTCAAACTTATTTGCTTGTATATGTTTCTATTTATTTTATTATCGAAAAATATGATGAACATGATTGACTATAAATACTAAACTATAAAAGAAAAATATTACTCGATGCATGTGTTTTTTTAAATAAAAATGAGGTACAGATTTGGGGTATATTTTATATGTTTTTGGTGTCATCGTGATTAGCTGATCACTTGTGACGGACTCAGATGACTGTTAGATAATAACCTCGGGGTTGAGGGAGCTGATAAGACAACCTAACCTATTGGACATGAAGGACATGAAGTAAGTTAAGAAATAAGAAGACAGAAAGGAACCAGTATTGAAAAGAACAATGCCTTTGTGCCGTTGGTAAGTTGGCATATGGGCTGAAGCTGAGCACTGCCACTTGCCTTCTGGGTTTCAGCCATTTCTAAGCTGCCCAGACTTCTCTTGCTGCTCTTCCTGCAAGCTCATCTTGAAGTGATAACATTCCAGCAGGATCGTGCACGGCCTCATGCTGCTTGTGTAATCAATAGCTTTGTTGTGTGACGAGAATGTTACAATAATGCCAGACTTCCCAGACTTCCCAGCTGGTATGATATGCAGTATCTAGGACTCAGAAGCCAGCAAACAGACACATGCTTGAGCAAGCTCCATGAGGAGAATAGGTCAGAAACCCACAAAACAATATCTACAACCTGGTGTAAAGAATGCATGGCAGACCTACAGCTTCCAGACTTGGCCACACACACTACTAGCCTGTGACTTCCACAGCAAACCCCCTGGTGATCAGTTGTGATCAACCCTGCAGATGACAAATGTTGATCAGAATAATGAATGAAACTGTCAAAGCACCTGCCACAAAAAAGACCACTGTCATTTCCCTCATTCTTTGCATTGTTATGTAATACATTTCTTCTTAGGCTCAGTACATGTGAATAATGCCAATTCTGTGTCCAAGTTTTAGCCCAAATGGAGACCTGGTGTTTGTCAGTCTCTACAGAGTCTGTATAAAAATGACAGTAATAATAAATGAGTGAGAAAACAATATTCTTCATTAATTACTTCAACTTAGAGAGCAAATGCTATTGTTTCAAAATGCCTTAACCTATTCTATATGCTCTCACTCATTGAACACCTGTGACTTGTTAACAATTTTAAAAGATTTTTAATCGAGCAGTTCCTACCCTTTTATAGTTGTTTCCGTGTGCATTGTGTGTTACTTGCCAACAAGACTTTTGAGTAATTTTGAGTAAGTGAGTAACGGAAGTGTCCGTTTTCAACACAAAGGAGATTTTCTTGACCATTTTTGTGATTGACCAGTTATAAACCCTGTCAGTACAGGAATGAAAGAGTTTACTATTACCTACAGATGCCTTTAGTTATGATTTCCGAACAATCTCAATTACCATGTCGGTTCCATGCTGGAGCCAAACTTTAAACAACGTGTACAATTCCAGCAGGACAAATCTGTGTATATGTCTGTAACAGGTATCATTGTATAATTATATTCCACAAGCTTTCCCCCCTTACAATTATCCCGATAATTGACCTGATGCATAATATGTAAACAGAAAATGAATAAAAATATGGGTGAATTAAAAACAGATTGAGCAATTCCGTTAGAAGACACAGCTGAGATTGCATGGTAATGGAGAGCCGAAAGGCCTATTGCAGAATTGACCAAACAAATCTGTCCACAACGGTTGTTGCTGACACAGCTTGTCTGTATCACCCTGGAAACAGAACTACAGTACCTGACTCAAAGTAAATGATTCAACACTTGTTGTCCTTCCTTCCCCTTTCTTTTGGCACTGAGAGCAAGTTTATTGACTTGATTTCAGATTTCGTCTACAACACCCGAGTCAGCAATGCTTTTCAGTTGTTCGGTATTTCTGAACTAGGAATTAATGTTCCTTTTAGGGTAACACCTTCAGTTAATAGGCAAAAAGAGACAGTGGCCTTCTGACATACTTAAAGAGGATTCTGAACATGATATCAGTATCCCTACTAGTTCTTCTTTTGCCACAGAAATACTAAAAGCTGTGGTTGGGTTACATTACAATTATTCAAAACAAACTGTAAGAGTCAGGTACATATCAACAATGTTCCAGTCCCTGCCCATGTCAGACATACAACTGGACCCACCCCAACATTTTTTTCTAATTGTTGAATCAGTTCTATAACAGGATTTTGAAACTATGAGATTATATATATATATGTTATTCCTTAGCCTTCCCGCTTCTAGCTACTTGGAGTTTAACCTAGATGTGGGAAAGGATTAAGAAGCAGGGAGACGCTGAAATGTTCAGCTGCAGAGGAGAGATCCAGGACATTATTTCTATCCACTGTTTTCCAGGGAATTGACTGGATGAACCAGGATAAACAGGAAGTGAGCGAAGACCGAACTAGCAGGGGGCACTGCTGTTTGCTGTTCCGACTTCCTGCCTGTTGCGCATCGCCATCCTGCTGAGCTCTGATAGGACGACTCTGTCCAGATGGCCCAACCTGATAGGACAGGCTGGCCACTGGTGGGCAAAACACCGCAAAACCTCAAGGCTCTTCATCACAAGTTTGACTGGGGGTTCCCATGAATGAGCAGCATCCAAATCCCGGCTTTCTCCTATCCATTTTAACAAAGGAGCCGTTACAAGGCTATTTATAACACTGCTTGTGAAAAAAAGGTTTTTACATATCAGCTGAGTTTTGAAAAAAATAGTTCAAGTATTTGTGTGAATATGTTAATTTGTTGCATGACTGCAGCTGCATCAGTGCAGCTGTTTCAGTTTTCACATCAAATGTGTGGCACATGAAACACAGCCATGCAGTGTAGAAAGGATGTGCTAAATTTCATTTCTAATGCATCATTGCAGAAAGCCAGATTCTCAGATAGAGAAAGTGGGGGGCTCAGTTAAAACTAGACTAAGTGGAGGTGTCAAAAAGAAGAACAGGAGTCCAAGCTAAAAATGGCAAATGTATCTTTTACAAGACAGTTTGTGTTGATTTAAGCCTGCTCTTTTGTGGTTGACTGTATATGGTATTTGCATATATGTTTTAAAAGGCTCTTAAAAGTTTGAAAGTGCTCATGGCATGGGAGATTGATAGTTATGCTGAAAGTTATATGTGGTTTAACTTATTGCATCAGGTTTTTTTAAAAACATGCTAGTAGGATGAAAGGTCACTGATCATTTGTCCCAACATATTTACAGTGTTAGTGATCCCCTGTAAGTAAAGCAGAACCTTATGACCCCTGCCAGCACACCTGCATCACCACTTGTATCAGCAGAAAATGATCTATTGAAGCAGCAAACCAAGAAGTATCTTTCTTTCTGTTTTTGTTGCATTCCCACAGGACTGATATAATCAACACTGATTCAAGGGATAGGAACAATTTCTGTCAAATAAATGTCAAATTTACTACTGGCTAAGCTTAACAGTTGATGCAAAGGAGGGAGAAAATGCCAACAGAAGAAAAACAGTAGTTAATATTATTTCCATTGGCGTTGTCATTTTTTATGAAAGTGATGATAATAATTTCAAATATAAGCAGACCTTTTGTCTCCACGTTGAGGGGAAAAGCTGGAAAATGTTTGGAGACAGGATCGTTTTGTGAAAAGTTCTAATGTCTCTCTCGCCCTTATCTCCTCCGGCACCTGTTTGTGAAAGCCGCATGGAGTCTTTCAGCTCAGCCAGAGTCTCTCTGGTAAAGCCGGTCTTCCTGTCTTGCCCTCGTGATTAATGGGTCCTCTCACACGCGTTTGCCCTCAGATGGCCGGGCCGACACTGCGTCTGTGAAGTGGTCACACTCGAGGTGAGGATGTTTTGCTGGGCTCAGGGTTCTCTCCACACCCAACAAAAGAATTCCCATAAATCCGTTATCAGTTCATTAGCCCCCGTGACTAATGAGCACATTTCCATTAAACACTTCCAGCCAGACCGGAGTTTACAATTCCAGTCTGTGGATTAGTAACTGTATTCATAATTATATGTCTGGAAATTTTATTTTTCAGGTCTTAAAACTAACATTGCATTGGCACATGTTCTCAGAACACTTCACTAATTAGCTTTATAGCCTTATTACCAATTGCATGTCTCACGATAACAAACACCTTTCTCTACCTTTATGCTTATTTTGGATATGTTTCATCCTAATTCACTTTCCCAGCAAACATTATACTTCTGAAAACACTTGATAGTGCTCGCTCTCAGGGATTGTGGAGGAAGGAAATTCTGTTTCACAATGCCTCTTTTCCACTGGCAAAGCCTTGGGTTGCTGCACTAACATGCATCCCCTGCCATTTCCTCACTAAGCCTGCAGCTGTCATTTACGAAGCAATTTCTGCTGGGGATATTTGACATACATATACAGTACATAGAATAGTATATGTGTTATTATACTACCATCAGGGAGTCATGGAATAAGTGGTAAGAGAATACCACCACACAGGTAAATGCTGAAGTTGAACTTTTTTTCCACATTTGAACAGTACTTTTTTTTTTACCAAAAACCACAATAAATGAACTTCTGTGCTTTATAGTTGCTCAACCAGAATACAACAAAAACACAACTATAAGAACAGCACGTAAAATAAAGGTTTCAAAACTACACGCATTTAGTTGGTGAGTCCAAAATATAATTCCCTATACAACAGTTTATTCGTCAGTCACGGAATACTGTTGAGAGCTGGAATGTCAAAAGACAGCTGAAATAAGTCAAATTGCAAATGATGCCTAGTATTCTTTTTCTTCTGGTTCAAGAGCTTTGCTAGATGCTTTAGAACAGGGGCCACGAACATTGTGGTAATTTACAACACTTATTGGAGTTGGGTGTACATGTTACAGGAGGTCAGTCTTTAAAATATACTTTCATAGTTCTCACTCCTAAAGATGAGAGGCAAAGATGAGAGCTGTTTGTCTGCACATTGTTTCTATATGAAAGCAAATTACTTTATTATTGCCTGAGCTATTATATAAACTGTGAGAAATGCCTGTCAGCTGTGATGTATCTTTGCTCTAACAATAATGTTGACAAGCTATGTAAAAAATTAAAAATAGTGATTTATTTCATAATGTTTGGGTGACACTTCCATAGTGTGCTAAGTATACCTAATGCATCTGCACTACCTAATTTGCTGGGCTCTGCCTAAAAAAAACTCCCCTTTTTTAATGCATGTATGACAACAATGACTTTATTCTATATAACGTTTATTGAATCTGTCCTAACATTCACTACAGTAGCCTGGTTTGGGAACCTTAATACATGCAATAAAAACAGACTGAGCAGGACTGTGAACGTATCCAGCAAAACTATTGGTGCACAATAGCTAGAGCTTTCAGACTTCCTATAGTGTGGAAGGCCAATATATCACCGACTGTCATGACAAACCCTCATACAGTGAATTTGACCTCCTTCCATCTTGGCATCGATTTAGACTACCCAGATTCAAGTGCAACAGTACTAAGTTATCCTTTATCCCTGCTATTAAGCTGCTTGGACAATTGATTGTGTATTTGTATTTTTCTCATCATACTTGTATCTCTTATTTGTTAACAGGTTCCTGTTCTATTCAATGTGTTGTGTACTGTGTTATGTCCTTTACCTGGCATTCCCATCTGGGACAATAAAAGTAAGTAAACATTTACAGTAGTCTGTAACGTTTGGAATCATATGGGCAATTGATTTAATAACATAGATTTTTAACACTAGAAATTAGAAAATCAAACGGTAAATGAGGGGCAAGATAACGATTGGCACTTTCTTATAGTGGTGTAATCAGAGCTGGACTTCCTGTTTTGGCTATGTGACATTTGTGGGATAGCCTGAACTGAAAGCAAAAGGTCTTTGCTCAAATGGTGCAGTCAGAAAACAAAAGACAAATGTACTAAGAGCATACCAATAGCCAGCTCAGATCTCATTTTTATTTTTCCTATGAGTTCAGTGGAATAGAAATTAGGTCATGGTGCATGGCTGCAAGCTTTCCCTTTAAGCAAGCCAGGTTCATCACAGTTTCAATGGAAGGACACTGTGACTGGTTATAATCTCAAAGGAACAAAACTGCAATGTGTGACATCCCTTCCAAGACCAGTTGTTGTATGTTAGATAAATGTAAATATGCATTTAAATAAGCCTTTTATCTTATATTTTAATAATAGGGTTATTCATAACATAATGTAAAGGGCTTAAACTTTTTATTTTTCCAAACTTCAAAATTTGTTAAGCTGGCAGTACTTAAAGTGACATCAGAATATGCTGCCCCACCAAAACAATAACTGCTTGCCATTTTCTTGAGGTTGCCAGATTGTTAGGGTTTCATGTTTTGCTAGTTTTGGAAACAGAGTGAGAAGATTGTTCCACTGCAAACAAGTTGTGTTATTCTCCATCCTCAGTATACAGCAGATCTTTTCTGAACCGATGTTTTTTTTTTCTTTTGTGGCGGTTACCTACTAGAACAGAATTAGTATCACAAGTGAATTGTCCACATTCCCTTTCCCAGTCAGCCAGGGTCTGGATGGGTTGTTGACTCTCTGATAGGGCAGACTCCAAGACAACGGCCATCCGGGTAGTGCTTCCTGTCTAACCTAAAACAATTACTGGCTCCTTTCTCAAAGCAGACAGGCTTGTGAGGTAATGTGGTCTAATTAAATTCCTCGGGAGTAAATGAGCCTCTGAGCATGAAAATGGATTGAACAGGTATTGGCTGCATTCTGGTGGAGTACATAGCAGATAGTTATTACTTGTAATGAACATTCTGTATATTGTACTTATGCTACAATTCTGTGAAGGCTGATATACAGTAGCTTGATTTGTTTACTGCTTAATAGTTTACTGCAGGTGGTTGTCACAGCCCATCAGCCAGTCTAATTTGGGAATTCGTGTCACAAAGTGAAATCATTTAACAATTATTTTTTATTTTTTATCTTCTGTAGAAGACACTTTTCACTTTTCACTTTTCACTTGAATTTGATATATATGTGTGAAAGCACCATTTCACTCATCAATAATGGAGATAACCAGCAATGGCTGGGAAAGAGCATTCAAACAGATCTGAAGTTTGTTTCATCCGTTTAGTCCTGAGCAACCCCGAACTGACAGCCAGGAAGTTTAATCTGTTCTTCTACACAGAGCACATTCTGTCACTTTAGCTTTTGGAAATGTAGCTAGTTAGTAGGTGACACTAATAATGACTGCAGAATTGAATCAGTGTTGTTTTTTTAACAGTTTCTCCACATAATTAGATAAGTGTCTATCACGCTACTAAAGTTTTCTTTTACAAATATGAGGGGAGGATATAGTATAGAGCACCAAAATCAAAAGGCTATTTTGAAAGTGAAAATTGCATTTATTTAACTGAGTCAAAAAATAACAGTTCTGAAATTGCATTTTCTGAAAGGTTACCTAGAAATATAAATTGTTAATGCTATGAATATAATATAAATATTTGCTTTAATAAAATAAATCTTTTAATCTTTTAAGAGGGATCTTTTGGAAGCTGTTTGATTACATGTTAGTTTCTGTTTTGCCACAGTGCTACACAGGGATGACATACCTAATTCAATCAATAAAGAATGCATTGTTACTGAATTGTTACTTTATACATTAAAACTTCCTTGATAGGAAGGGCCATCAACTATAAACACCCCCACAGAAACATTAGTGTAAAATCACAATAAAATACGTTAATTTCTCTTGTAGACAGGAATATTCTCTGTGTGGTAGAAGGTTTTCCGAATGTACTGTACAATTTCCTGGAATGCTTGTGGAATATTTTTAGAGGCTTGGCCTCTGTTCCTGTCCAAATTTTTCCAGGGAACAGTGTCTCTGCCATAACAACCTAAGGCAAATGAGGGCTGAGTTGGGAACCTGATAAAAATGTACATGAGAAAGCAGAACTGAGAGAGGACTCCTATTTAAAGATGAAGGAGGTCCTGGTGTCTGTTTGAAACACAGCAGGTTGCGGAAATTAGTCACTCATCAGAAGGGGCTTTCATTATCCCTTGAGACCCTACTGTAATCAGTATTATCCTTCTATAAAAACAGCCATTCAATCAAAGAGCGCAATCAAGGAGGGTTGGAGCCATGTTAACTGCTTCCTGTATCTGCCAAACCAAAAAAAATGCTTCATCAAATGAAGTAAGAGAGCTTTCTGGATGCCAGATTATGGAAGCCCAGAGCAGTTCTAGCCACGACACAAGGATTACCACCAAACAATGCCAGGAGATCCTTCATAACCAAGTAGCTGTCAAATCATCTCATCCAAAGGTGACACAGGAAGGGTACTTCCCACTGCACCACAAACAGCAAATACAGTAGCAACCTGGTTTTCCTTTTACCTTGGAAGCCAGAATTTGTCGGGTTCAGGCTTACTTAGTTTCAAAGATATCTTGATAAGCTTTCGTCAATAAACCTGCCATTTAATCCATCTACCCTCTAGAAATATATTTCACAGAGGCTACAGTACTGTACATTCAGGTTTAACAATTTCATTTTATTATAAATGTACTCTTTATAATGTATTAAGGTAGTAATATAATATTTTCAAATCATTTACGTATCGTAAATGTCTGGCATTATTAAGGGTGAATATTCATGTAGTTGCTGGGTTTGCCATGATTACTCTAAAATATGTACACTTGTCATAACCCAAGTGAGTGTGACAATGATGATTAGTAGTATGTATGTTATAATACCAGTTATAATATCAGCAATCGTTTATCAAGAGTTTTCATTGAAGCCTGTTTATGGCCCCCTTTCAAAACCTAGAGACCTACTGCCCCCTTGTGGAATTGTGTACAGAAAGGCAACCACAAGCGCCTGTGAAAGAACTGCGTCATATAACAGTATTAGTATATAATAATATACCAGACAAGAGTGCTGCCCTGCAGTTAAGACTTTTAAAAGTAAAGATATGGCTACAGCAAATAAAGTAATAGGTTGTAGAGATAACTGTACGTTAACTATGTAACTATGTAATATGTAAAATGATTGTACAAAGACTATTATTTTGTGTGTTTACTTTAGTTCTATGGTGATTTCCACATGACTGCTCTTGAACACTTTTCTAAAACCCACAGACAGCATTTAAGTGGAGGTAAATCTTGGCAATAATGCGATAGTTGTTAAACAAGATTCACCACATTCTCCTTAACTGCATGCATTAATTTAACAGGTTAATATCTCATATTGTAAAATGGATTTTCTGACATGCTGAAATATAGACCTGACTTTTATGTAGGCTGAATGCTTATGAAGCCTACAGCTTGACTGGTATGTGTGGTGATATGAATCAGGCAAATTGCTTTCTGTATAATAAAGTGTATTTAAGTCTGCTGCTTTTTTCTCACCAGGAGACTAGCTGCCCACTGTTTCTTCTGATATCCTACACTTGATTTGTAATTGCATTCATCTGTTGATATCCAGGTGGCACAGTGGATAGCACTGCTGTCTCACAGTGCTGGGGCCCTGGGTCCAATCTCCTCGTGTTCGTGTGGGTTTCCTCTGGTCCTCCCACTGTCCAGAGATATATTGGTAGGACAATTATCTTCTAGGGAAATTGGCTCTGGTGTGTGTTTGTGTCAGTGTGGGCCCTGCAATGGACTAGTGTTGATATTCATTATATCTATGATATAAACAGATTTCACATAATTTAAGCACATACAATTCAGTAGACACTTGCAGACAATCAACATATAAATTAATAAAGGTTTGGTTGTGCACCATAGAGATACCATACCATAGAGACTGCAAGTAAAGCAAAACCAGATTCATCTCAATGAGCAATTCGCATATTATTGTCAATGTCACCTCCTTAAAGTGTTGCCCATTATTTTGGACAGTGTTCAAAGTTGGACATGTGCCAAACCCCAGAGAGTACCCATGGTCAATGGTCTAAAAACACTACACCTGCATATAAACTGCAGGCCTACTGTATGTAGATATTTCTTCTTATACTGTAGTCTATTTTAATTCAATGATGTATTAGGGAAATGAGGGTAGGCTTCAACTAGATTGTTTTAGACCCCCTTATTAAACGTTAGTGAATAGGAATTGAATGTGTGGTTGAAGAACAGTTCCACGCAATAGCCATATTGCAACCTGAAATCATCTGGTATATTTTCAAACTGTCACTCCTAATGGTGGTTTGGCTCTCCTAGAGGATAATTTGTCGGATGGCCTTCTTCAAATTACCTGCTGCACTAAAGGTGTGCAGGCCTCTTCAGGGTGAATAAGTCCCAGTCCACATCTCCCACAGCAAGAAGAGGATACAAATAAACTGAAGAGTGAGACTAGGGGCATTTCTATTGTGCACACTGGGATACAAAGCCGGTCCTATCTGTGGTATTAGAACGCAACCAAACATAAGTCAACATTGTCTCAGTCTTCACTCAGCTCCAAAAATAGACTTATTTGGGTGCACTAAGACCCACCAGCACAAGATGACACGTGTGGAAATACTCATTCCTAGCACATAAGTATACACCAGGATGTGCCAGCAACACCATGTGTACATTTACCTCACAGAGCATCAAGACTTAATCCCACCTTGAGGTTTCTCCGTCGCATTGCATACATTCTTTGAACAAGTCTGTCATTGATCAATTACCATGCTACTTTTTTTATATAAAAGTATCTCTCCCAAACTATGCACCACTCACTCAGGCTTACCTGATCTCATTTTTCAGGAATTGAGCTCACAAAAAACAGTTAATCTAATCTTTGTTGTGTTAATGTAAAATCTGTGCCAGTCTGGACTGGCTCGTACAGTGTTTTTTTTTTAATAAGATGTGTTTAACTTTCATTTGTCATCCTTTTTTAGCTTTCTTTAATGTTGTTAAACTACTTGATGTATGTTAATAGAAATCTGTTCAAAAGGGATTTAAATTTTTATTTTTTCTTTGAACAGATCACTTACTGCTGACTCATAAAGTATGGCTCTTCATAAACTTAGTGACAAATCTGTGAGATTTTACAGCATAGTTATGTGGTGTTGTCTCAGTCTGTTTGGAGTGGTCTTCAATGATAAAATATTTCTGCTGATAAAAATTAAATCACAGCCTGTACAGAAAAAAACACGACATTGAATTCTTGTGAATTGCTTTGAAAAATCGTATTTGTCTTCATAATGCAACTACAAAATTCTGTATCCTTATTGGACAACAGTACATATATATATATAGTTTGTAAAATTATTACATTTATTGTTACGCTGTGATACTGAACTTGTAATAGACTTTAAAATGCATACTGGGTAATAATACGCATTATATTTCGATGTCTGAAAATGGTTATGTTTGTATGTGTAAAAAGCAATAACGTCTTAATCTGAAAACAAACTCGTTTACAAATCAATTTGAACATTTTTGCTGAACTGGCAGTGTAGTGCTACCACAAACTCCAGAATTAATGACGTAAAACATACCATACTGGACATACTGTATGTACTTGCGTGTATCAAATTTAATCCCGTGAAAGCCGACTAATCACTGTTAGTAGGTAAAGCGTAAGGATTTTTCCGTTTATAGCAATATAGAGAGGCATTAAACGGGCTGCATATGACTATTGGATGCAAGAGCGTTACGTTTTTAATGCCTGTATAATTTAATACTGTGGCAAAAAGCTGTATACACTGGAATATAAAATGTTTATCAGTTAATGGCACTGGCCTCCTTCAATCAGCATGAAATAATGAAAGAAGAATATGTTACTTGTATTTCGTATTTATACATGAAATGTTAGTGTTACAATTTGCAATCAATCCGGACACCCTCCAAGGCTAAGTGGAGCTGTATGTCATGGTCGTGTGTGACATCATCAACAGTAGCAGCTCATTTTGGACAGGCGCTCTGCAGGAGCACTTTGGGTCCTTCTTTCCCCAGGCAGTGACTCTGACGGAGCAGAACTGAACGAGGTACAGAAAATGTGCTCACTTTTAAGTGTGCCTGTTTTTAAAACAGCGCATATAATATAGGGCTGTGATTGTGGCGATAGCATGGACACGAGATATTCCAAAATAAATATGTATTTCTACCCAAAGAAGACGAATTAATTAAAACTCCGGCTCCACGCGTTCTTATATAACAGCAGTCAGCAATCGCTATGAATGTATTTTGTTACTGCAGTTAAGCCTGGTGATCAACTGCCCATAGTGAAATGTCACGCTCTTCGAGAAAGACTACATTAAATAAGCACGGCGTTTTTTTCGGTGTTCTTGAAGTATAACATAAAGTTGCCTTACGTTTTCTACCAATGTAACGTGACACAAACTGTCTGAAGAAGCAAAACTGCGTGTTTCCAGAGAATAATGCAGGCATGTTAAAATGGAAATGCATAGGAAACAGGAGACGAGCTTCGTCTTGCTTGCCTGTTCCGACACTATCGACAAAAAAACCTGCCTTGGAGCAATTTAGATTCAATTTAGAGATATGCGGGTAGGAAATAATTTGGAAATGTGCTCTAGGGAGTTGGAAAATGCCTGTCTCTTTTACTTTTGTTACATAAGGTTTGATACGATTAACTCAAGTTCAGGCAGATCCTCAGGCAGCTATAACGGGGGCCCTTCCTCCATATAAAGTGTTGCCGCTCCGGTTGGTCTCCCTCAGTTGTCGGTGCGGCCGGCGGGGCGGATCCCAGAAGAAAAAAAAAATAAAATAAAAAGAAAGCAACATCATTACAGACTAAAACAATTTAACATTCAAAAAGTCATTATTTATTCCCTTGTGGATAAATAGAAACTGAAAAGGTAAGCACTCCCGACGAAACTGGAGGGGAACGACGCGTTTTCGGCGGAAGGCGATTGTTTAAAAACACAATGCGTACCCAACCACCTCAGTGGCTTCGCAATTTACAGGCAACTCGTGTGGGGGAAGAGGATTATACCGGCTGTCGTGTGCGGATGATTTTGTAAAATGGTATTTCCTGGGACACTGGCACTGTTGGCTCTTGCTTCCGTTTCCAATGTAACGGCTGAAGTGAGCAGAAGAATGACCGAGAAGAAAGGGAGGGGGTGGGGAGGGTAAGGTCTGCCTGCTGGAGTTTAGGGGCTGCAAATCGGAAGGTTTTACCAGTTAAACGGGGCATCATTGCACGTAACCGGACGGAGAAATCTGGCCTTTCCACAACATGAACTAGCTGGGGGGGGGGGGGGGTGATCTTTCTACGGAAAGTTACTGTTCGTGTTTTAGAGAGTTGGCCATAGATATTTTACAAAGTTTCTCTTTTTTTTGTGTAAAAATAAGAACACGCACGCAGACCATGGCCAGCGATTTTCCCTCTGGCTGCTGCTGCTGCTGTTTTCTATTGCTGAAATATACAGTCTGGATGGTGGAGGTATTGTCGTGGATGATGGCTGCATTTTTAATCACGAGTTTCTGTTGACTTCTTTCTGGGGGGGGGGGATTCAGTAGGTAGTTTGACTGATTTCAGCCGAAAGAAAACTGAGGGGCAAGAAGGTGATCTCGTTGGTTCGGCCCAGGTAGTTCTGACTGACGTCTTGGCAGTGTGTGCCTTAATTGCTGCAGAGACATTGTTCCGCTAAATGAAGGCCTTTGTTTTGCTGTACTCTCTACCGACCCCTTCTGGTGGAGAAGAGTAGTCAGGCTGCGGTCTGGAATAAAACTACGGCTGTCAAGTGTCGGGTCCCAGCGCCCACTGGCCCGGGCACTCTGATTTCGGTCTTTAATTCGTCTCAAAACGGTTGCTGGATGATGGTAGAAACTTCCCAGGCTCTCGACGCTGTTGAACCGTCTCAGACACCGATGACAAGTCAACAGATCTCACTGCTGTCAAGTCACCCAAACACACTGATGGCTCAGCAGCGCTAAGCCTCAAGTGCAGGATTTCCAAGTCTTCCTGCTGCTTTTCCAGATTAAGATGTTGGAGTTGTAGGGTCTGACCAATCTCACTGCAACACTGACTAACCCTTTTTTTTTTTGTTTTGCCATCCCTTCCATCCTTGCCTGCTCAGATGCCCTCAGCGACTATTGGCAACAGGACGGTGCAGTCCTCCAGTCCGGAGGTGGGGTCCGCTCC